TTTAGTAAACCTACTTCTGTAATCGGCAGCGCTTGCTGCTTCTGACACAAGAAACTATTTTTGATAATGATATTATTATTATTTGGGACAAAACGTGGTATAATCCTGTTTAGAGACAAAATACTGTAATGCAGTAAAGATTCCAGGGGCCTGAATATTACAAAGCAATTTCTTCAAATTAAAGCATCAATGAGAAGTAAAAGACCTAGGCTTCTGATTTGTAACAAAAAAAGATAGAGAAGGCCATTTTAACCAGCAACCATTAAACTCCTTCCATTTTAATCATCTTCTAACAAGTGTTCCTATTACATTTAAAGCCCGCGTATCTTTAGAATATCATCGGTTTTCTATTACAATATGGATTCTTTTTATGTATCTAGCTTAGACATTGTTGTTAACAATAATTGTTCATTTTATTATGTGTGCGACTGTGAGTCCGCTTGTGAGTGCAATCACACTATTTTATATTAATAATATCTCAGTGTTCCGATGTTTCTGAAAGAAAGTATGTGTGAGAGAGTTTGTGCGCATGGGTGTGCTCACGCACGTGTGTGTGTGTGTGTGTGTGTGTGTGTGTGTGTGTGTGTGTGTGTGTGTGTGTGTGTGTGTGTTTATTGTGAAACACCAAACCAAAGTAAGAGCATTTGGATAATAAAAATTTATTTGATCTTATAATAAAGGTGCATCTTGAGATCAGTTGAGGGTGGGAGGAGGGGGAGGAGGGGGACGATACGGGGGTAGTATGAGTTGGGGTGAGGAGTTTGAATATTTGAGATATTCTATTTTATGAAATTGTCTTTCTGATGCACCCGTTTTTACCCTTTATAATCGCGCTTTATCACAGAATTTATACTTCCAATAATAATTGCCACCCAGATACCATTTTGCTGGAATGAGAATGGCAATTATTACTATTGGAAGTATCTATTTTGTGACAGAGTCCGATTATAAAGTGGACGAAAAACGGGTTCTCGCAAGTGTCCATTCACTAACAGGTAAAGATGGGTGTAACCAATTTCCTGGTCTGCAGTGGAGCTCTTCTAGCGGCCAACAAAGTGATTACAGGTGCCCACTGCGCTTTTGAAAGGTAAACATTGTTAGTGGGGTGGGGAGGATTTTTGTTTCTTTTGGGGATTTTTTTTCCGGGAGGGCGTTCTCTTTTTGATCTCTTCTCTTGCCCATATTATTTTCAGTGGGTTTTTTTTTCTTTTGATATTGAAGTCCTTTTCTGATAGTTATAGGGGGCTCTCGTGGCCTAGAGGTTAAGGTGTTGGCCTCTCATTCAAAGGTCCCGGATTCGAATCCGGGTAGCGACCAAAAAAATTTCTTCTCTAAAATTGTCTCCTTTCACCTCCTTTTCTTCTCTCTGGCAATGTTCTCTTGTCTGCTTTCATTTCCACTTTCTGCCCCCACTCTCTCACCTCCTTTGCCTCCTCCTCTGGGCTCCTGACTTTTTCTGCAGCCTTTCTACTGCTACTCCTTGGCTCCTTCTTACTGCTGTCTTTCTGCCACACCCCTGATCTTCTGGTAGGAAAGATCTACACCTAGCCTTCTCGGACAAGGGCGAAAAATTTCGGAGGGCCCGTGTGCAAGTTGCGTACGTTAAAGATCCCTTGGTGGTCTAAAATCGATAAGAGTAGGCTTCGGCCGCCACCCGGGCAAAATTCAAAATTTCCTTCCAACTGAAAATATTAGGTGTGTTCCGCGCGCTCATATGACCTTATGCAGTTGCGAGCGCCGTAAAACACTTTACAAAAACAAAAAATGATTGTTATAAACAATTATTCAATTGTTATCTACGATATTTTTGTGTGTTTTCACCTTTCCCGTAGAGCCACGACAAAAACCCTCGCATGGATAATGAAGTATCATCTTATCTTATCTTATCTTATCTTATCTTATCTTATCTTATCTTATCTTATCTTATCTTATCTTATCTTATCTTAGCGTAGCTTTCATCCATCTCTGCGTCATGTCTCTTAACTACCAGTCCCACACCTATCCTCTTTTCGTCGAAACATTCATCATTGGATTTCCTTAACATTTCGCTGTAGTAGACAAAAGTTCGATTCCTAAGTAGGGATGTTTTTGTTGAGTCTCTCTCTCTCTCTCTCTCTCTCTCTCTCTCTCTCTCTCTCTCTCTCTCTCTCTCTCTCTCTCTCCCCACCCCCTCCCTCTGTGTGTGTGCACCATTTGAGTATGTGTATGTGTACGTGTGTGTGTGTGTGTGTGTGTGTGTGTGTGTGTGTGTGTGTGTGTGTGTG